GGGGGTCAGCCGCAGGAACAAGCGCCTTGATTACAGTGATGCTGGTGGATTCTATTGCAAAGATCAAAGTCTTCTTTTAGTTATCGGTCTTTTTTCATTATCCTTTTGTTTTTTTTGAGTCAATAAGAGTCTTTTGGTGTTTTGAGTCTTGTTATTTCGCCTTTTATCCTAAGAAGTCTGTTTAAGTCAGGTCTGGTCTTGTTTATCTTTATGTAATTCTTGCTTTTCGAGTCTTGTATAAAAATAAAAATAAAAAAACACGTTATTATATTATATATTGAAATCAACGAAAAGATTTTAGTTTAAGAAAATTACGGAAATAGAACCAAAAAACGAATGTTTAGTTTTGTAAAAAAAAAAACGGTTAAAGTAGTACCTAGAACTACGTAATAGATCTGATTCATGCGGCGACATGATACGTAGGCAACCCACAAAAGGTTCGATCAAATATTTTTCAAATGACACTAAAGTAAGGGATCAAAATAAGGCGAGTGAAAGGAGGAAATAACATTGTCAATAAATAACAACTGATAAGCCGGAATGAAACATGAAGCCTTCCAAAAGAATATTAGAGATGATGATATTTTAGGAGCATAGCATATCTACGTGTGATTCTTATCTGCAAAATGCTTAACTCTAACACATTTGTTGCCTCTTAATTCAGTAAGCTTAAGGTGGTTGGTTTGTGGTGAAAACTGGCAACACATCATTACTTCACAAGATCTAANTTCAACCCACATTTTTCAAAAAAAAAGGGGGAGCATAGAATTCCGCGTGTGCATAATATTTTCGAAAAAAAAAGGGAGAGCCTATTTTGGTCAAATGCTGAAGGGCCATTTTTGTACAAAAAAAAAAAATTAGTTACTTTATCCATATTTATTCACCTTTTACCATTTTGCCCTTATGTCTGGCCATTTTTATCGAAGCAGCTTTAAACCTTTACGGAAGTACCGAAAGACTGTTTTTTGCAAAAGTAACCATTTTTTATCTAGTTTTGTCTTGTTTCTTTTTCTGAAATAGCTTTGGAACCCCTCTAGGAGTAACAGAGGGTCATTTTTCTAAAAATAATTTTTATTTATTATTTTTTTTTACTTTTATCATTTTGTTCTTGTGTTTGGATGTTTTTGCTGAGACATCCTTTATGCCTTCTGTGGAAGTATCAAAGGGCCGTCTTTGTAATGATAGCCATTTTTCCGTTATTATCATCTCAACTTTTGTGTCCGGTAACTTAAAAAAATATTTTGTAAAAAAAAAAAAAACTAAAAAAAAACTAAAAAAATTATAGATCGAGTCCTAAATTGGCAAAAAAAAAAAATAATAATAATGAATTGTCATTATTTGCATGTAGTTTAGGTAAGTCCTAACCCTTTTTATCTTATCCAGGATCACCATGAGTTCTCCACTAAGAAGCAGTCAGAAAAGGGTAAGGGACGAGACACCTCTAATGTTCTTAATCAGAGATAAGACCCCGAGCAGTCTCTGTAATTCGTGGGCTAGTTTTGCTACATGGGAACGGAATCGAGTATTTAAGCACCTCAAGTTCCTCACAAACATCATGGGAATTAAGCCTAACAGAGATTTAATCGAGTCTCTAGTGGGTTTTTGGGACCCCGCGAACAATGTCTTCAGGTTCAAAGATTGTGAAATGACGCCCACATTAGAAGAATTAGGTGGGTTCACCGGATTGGGGAGAGACCTTCGTGGGAAAAAGCCTGCTGCTCCGAGAAAAGTTGTCCGCTCGAGTAAGCCAGTCTAGATACTTTCTCCAATAAGATTTAAACCTAGAAGAACAAACCTCATGCCGGATATCCCTAGTAGGTTCGCTTTATTTGTATCACGTGCATTTGACTTAGCGAAACTCGGCACAGGGGCCGAGTCCGTATAAGACAGATATCCTCTTCGAGACCATCATGTTCACGTATGTGCTACTTGATACATCATTTGGAAGGCGTACTTGCATTGTCGACCGGTCTTAAAAAATTAGTGTAATTATTAAAATTGAAAAAAAGGAGAAAAAGAAAAAGAATAATTCTCCTAGTTTAGTGCAAATAAACCTTTTTCTAAAAAAGAAAGAATATATATATATTGTAATAGTCTGGTGTGAGTTGTAAAGATTAATTTTTCAAAAAAAATAAATAAAAATAAAAGGGTACTTAGTTTTACCGAACTACGCGGGTTCGATTCTCACCGGATGTGAGATACGTAGGCAAACTCCATCGGGTTCAGCCCACATTTTTCAAAAAAAAAGGGGGGGGGGGGAGCATAGAATTCCGCGTGTGCATAATATTTTCGAAAAAAAAAGGGAGAGCCTATTTTGGTCAAATGCTGAAGGGCCATTTTTGTACAAAACAAATAGTTACTTTATCCATATTTGTTCACCTTTTACCATTTTGCCCTTATGTCTGGCCATTTTTATCGAAGAAGCTTTAAACCTTTCCGGAAGTACCAGAAGACTGTTTTTGCAAAAGTAACCATTTTTTATCTAGTTTTGTCTTGTTTCTTTTTCTGAAATAGCTTTGGAACCCCTCTAGGAGTAACAGAGGGTCATTTTTGTAAAAATAATTTTTATTTATTATTTTTTCTACTTTTATCATTTTGTTCCTATGTTTGGCTGTTTTTGCTGAGACATCCTTTATGCCTTCTATAGAAGTATCAAAGGGCCGTCTTTGTAATGATAGCCATTTTTCTGTTATAATCATCTCAACTTTTGTGTCCGGTAACTTCAAAAAATATTTGGTAAAAAAAATAATAATAATAATAAAATAAAAAAAAACTAAAAAAATAAAATAAAAATAGATCGAGTCCTAAATTGGCCAAAAAAAAAATAATAATAATGAATTGTCATAATTTGCATGTAGTTTAGGTAAGTCCTAACCCTTTTTATCTTATCCAGGATCACCATGAGTTTTCTACTAAGAAGCAGTCAAAAAAGAGTAAGGGACGAGACACCTCCAATGTTCTTAATCTGAGATAAGACCCCGAGCAGTCTCTGTAATTGGTGGGCTAGTTTTGCTACATGGGAACGGAATCGAGTATTTAAGCACCTCAAGTTCCTCACAAACATCATGGGAATTAAGCCTAACAGAGATTTAATCGAGTCTCTAGTGGGTTTTTGGGACCCCGCGAACAATGTCTTCAGGTTCAAAGATTGTGAAATGACGCCCACATTAGAAGAATTAGGTGGGTTCACCGGATTGGGGAGCGACCTTCGTGGGAAAAAGCCTGCTGCTCCGAGAAAAGTTGGTGTGAACAATTTTTTAAAGAAATTATGCCTCCGTCGAATTCCAATGGCTTGCTTCAACGAAGGTTGGGTTCAGTTGGAATATCTCTATGACAGGTTTGGGGACGAGAAAGGGTTTGAAAATTTCTCGGGCATAGAATTCGTCAACCAGTTGAGTTACGACGCTTGGAGGGAGTTGAGAATCTTCACGTTCATGATATCATTTCTAGGGATCATGGTCTTCCCAGAGCGTGGTGGGCGCATCAGAATTCGATTGGTTGCGGTAGTCTCGTATTTGCAAAGTAGCGAGGATCATACCATTCTTCCCATGATTTTGGGAGATATTTTTCGAGCTTCGACCCGATGCCAAGAGGGTGGAGATTACTTCGAGGGATGCAACATTCTGCTGCAGATGTGGTTCATAGAGCACCTTTATCATCATCCAATGGTAATAAATTTCAATGAAAACTGGCTGAATTACATTGGATTTCACCCAGGCAGGGCCGCAAGTTGTAATCTTCCAGATGGGGTTAGAGCCTGGCGGAAATTACTTGGTTCATTGAATGCGGATAAAATCACTTGGAAATATTATTGGTTCCCTTCTGCTAGGGTCATGCATATGTCGACATATCGCCCATTCTTCATACTCATGGGTTTCAGAGGTTTCCAACCCTACGCGCCCCTTCGCATCATGCGCCAGCTAGGGAGAGAGCAAAAGAGGCCCCCGATCGAAGACATGCGTCCGTTCGTGTGGGAATTCAAGGGAGAGGAACCTCCAAGGGAGTCTTATGCACAAAAGGTTTGGTTTGGTGGTCGATTTTCTGATATAGACGAGATGGTAGCTGATCGTGAACGTGGGGAGGTAAGCCTCGCATACCTTGAGTGGTTTCACAAATAGGCTATCCCCGAGAAAAGGCCAGAAAGATCCATACGACATGCAGTTGATTGGGAGGAAGAGATAGAGGCCAGAGTTAGAGATACCAAAAGGGAAGTGGCACAAGAGTTCCAGTCTCGTATTGACACTTTACAAGAAGATAAGGGAATTCTGGAGACAGCCATGGACATACAACAGGCTGATTTTGAGCGGGAAAAGGCTCAGTGGGCACGAGAGAAGCAAGCACTCCAAGCCCAAATTCAAAAGAAGAACATAGTCGCAACCGCTCAGCAACAAGAAGAGAGAGAAGCCCAGTTCAGGGTAGTCCGTGATCACGAGCGTAGAGGTTTTGCTCAGTTNTACCCACAGTGGCTTTGTGACAACAGGTACAGATTTAGTGCGCATGTGTATCTATACTAACTTTGCACTGCCACGGAGGGGGGAGCTTGGGTTCACTGTCTCCATACATTTCAGCTAAAAAGAAGTAATATATGTAAATGCTTAATTTTTGCCATGTCTTTTTATTCTATATATATATATATATATATGTGTGTGTGTGTGTGTTCTTATTTGTGTGTATGTAGGTTTTGAGAGTTTTGTTATGATTTAATTAAGAGAGGAACAAAACTTTGGGCTAGTGTTATTTTAAAGTGAAATGGGCTAAAAAAATCGGACCAAATCATTGGCCCAATTGCACCAACCCAGACCAATTGATGGCTTGCCAAGACCCGGGTCAAAACGACGTAGTTTCATAATAAAACTACGTCGTTTCACTAAATGAAACAAGATCAAATCTTACCCCTCCATTCCATCTTGATCCAATGGATCTCATTGACTCTTGGCCTAGGTATTTAAAGCCTCCAAAATCTGAAAAATTTTCCCATTTCCACCCATAATTCTTTTCTCTTTTTCTCTCTTATCACTCTCTCCCCCCTCTCTGCCACGCCGCCCCGTCGCCGCCCGTCGCCGCCGGCCGAAAATCGCCGCCAGCGGCGGCAACCCTCCAATCCACCCTAAAATTTTACCATCTCTTCCCCTCTTCCTCCTCTTTCTACCTATACCACTCATATCCTCCAAATCTCCACCAATCTCCGTAGATCTAAGCCTAACCGAAACCCTAGCCGCCGCCCATCACCCCAAAACTCCAAGAATTTTACACCACCGGCCTCCTCTTCTCCCCCTCTTTCCATATCTCGGACTCAAAAATCAAAAAAACCCCACGCCGCCCTAGCGCCACCACCACTGCCCTAGCGCCGCCGCCACTGTTGCCCACCGCCGCCCGTTTCTTTTCTCTAACCGGCCTCGAGCAAGGTTGTGTCGTTGATATTATTGAAAATGGACTCGGATTCACCGAAATTTTTGGTCTCAAGAATATCAACAATAGAAGCTTGCTCGAAAGTCGTACCACTGCCTATCGTCGTCTCCCGGATGCTCGAGTATATGGTAAAATCGCAATCCCCGCCCCGTTATTAATTTTCTAATTTTTCTTTTTGTTTTGAGTTTTTAGTTTAGAGTTAGTTTCTGTCTTGTTTCTTTATTCTAATCCATTTCTGATTATGTTTATCTTTGTTAAATCGCTTCAGCGATATCGTGCGTTCCGTTTGGCTTTAATAGTTAATTTTTGTTTGCTCATGTTGGTTCATAATACATGTGTCGAAATTTAACTACATGTTTTAATACTTGGTGTAATTTGAATCAATAGGTTGATATTGGTGTTGTTAAAATCTGAAATTTAGATATTTTGTAGGGTACTAGTAGCTTGCTTTAGTAGGGTGGCTGAAGTGACCCTTTGGCTCCTGCCATAGCAGATTTCAGGCTGTCCTTTCACCTTTTGGACAGCCTTTAGCACACAAATTTAGCCTCTTTTGGACAGATTTTTGTTGAACCAAAATCTGTCCAAAAAGTTGGCTTTTCTTTGCCTATTTAAGGGCTGCCATTTCTTCATTATTAAGGACTAGAACACACTTCCATAGACTTTTTTTAGAATTGCTTAAACACACAAAAACATAAAAAATTTCAGCAGTTGAACACATGAAAAGTAAGCTGAAATGGTGAGCTTTAGGAGTGAATCTTAGAGTGCAAACTTTTAGAAAAGTATAAGTCCTCTTTAGAGTTCGTTTCTGGGTTTCTTCTCGAAGTTTTCGGGCTGTTTTAACATGGATTTGCTGCTGTTTTGCTGCTGTTTTTATGCTGCTTTAGTTGCTGAGCTTCCATTCTTCGTTGTTGTATTTATTATTCTGTGACTCAGGTAACTCTTTAATCTTATGTTGCAGATATTTTCACATTAACAAGAAGATTGGAACTCATCTTGATTGTTGGGAGCATATCCATTTAAATAAATGAGTGCTTAGCTAAACTTCTTTATTGTTAAATATATCTTGTTGTAGTTCATATGTAAAAAATAAATCCTTGGTTGATCAAACACTCTTTATTCATGTGTTATTTGTCTTTACTATCTATTATAGTTTTGATGCATATAAAATGAGATGTTTCAAGTAGGCTGTAATGTGCTTAAAGACCCTTTTGCACCTTTGCAATTCTGGCCAGTTTATGATAGGCTATTCTTTAAAGAAAAATAACAAAAGAGCCATGCTTGAAACCTTTATTTATTGTGATAAAATTCAGATTTTACATGTGACCATCTCTGCTAGGATTTTAGATTTTTTTTGGTAGAAAGTGGCTAGATCTTAAATAGGTGTTTGAAATTGCTAGTTAAAAATATGGGTTAATGGCTTAGAACAAAAGAGGCCAGACTCGCAATTTAGCCCAGGTGGGCTATCTTAGTAAACCAGCATTTGAAATTCATTGGGCTTTCAGCTTATGCCCATTTTCGGAGCTCAATAATGGGCCAAGGCATATTCTGTCCAATAGGCCCAATGCCTTTAAGAAGTCTATAAATATTTTGTCCATTTATTTTATAGATGTTGGCTCAATACCATAACTAAATAAGCAAATTGGCCCACTTTCTCAATAAATAAATAGCTGGCCCATCTTCTAAAATCCATAAGCTGGCCCATTTCTCCTTTTAACAAGAAGTTGGCATATTTCTTTAAAAAAAAAATTGAGTTGGTCCAACATTTATTTGCACAATTTTTCCAACCATAAGGCTAGAAGATAATAATAGAAATCAGATTTCTGTTATTAATTAATTAACACATTTTCTTTTTTATTAGTTGAATTGCTAGGCAATCAGTAGGCACGCTTAAATCTTTTCATTCACGGATTCGCTTGCGTGGCGTGATATTTAACATTCAATAATTTAATTCACTAATCTCTTTCTATATCTATAGTTTTAGTTAAATTTCTAATCCTTTCACCATACTCACGGATTCGCCCGCGTAGCGCGATAGTAACTTTTTAATAGCGATAGTAACCTTTTAATAAATAATTTTCTCAAAAGCACAAATACA